TGGGCCTTAAAAATAGTGGCCTTCTTAGAATTCATCCAATATGTCACACTCTCTCCTGCCATAGGACCTCTGCACACACTGAACACATGTCTCCACACCTCTTTGCCAAGTTACTCATACCCTTCCTCTTTCAGATCTCAACAATTAATTATTTAACAAAACCTTCCCTGGTCTATAGCAGGATTTTAAAAAATGCATTCATAGAACCATATTCCCTAACTTCACAGAAATTATCTCAGTTTATAATTATATACTCATAGTGTATTTGATGACCATTACTCTAAAAGTGGCAAATTTGTTTTTTCTCATTTTTGTGCCTGGCACAAACTAGGCACTTAATTTATCATTGTTGAGGGCTAGTCTTTATTTTTACTTGATTTGGGTCTATTTAATAGGTCCCATGTTGGAGAAGGTAAGAACTCAGGTCAATTCATTCTTAATTCTGAGAAAAGAGTTAAAAGGATTCCAGGTATAGCATAGCTTTTCATAAAGAAGCCACATATTTTAATATCAATTTTCATTTATTGCTACTGCCTCTCACTCTAGAAAATTACCAGTCTATTAATGAGTTATTATTGTGCTGATATAGTTAGCCTATTAAGACCAGTCCGGGCACAGTGGCTCACGCCTATAATCCCAGCATTTTGGGAGGCCGAGGCGGGTGGATCATGAGGTCAAGAGATCGAGACCATCCTGGTCAACATGGTGAAACCCCATCTCTACTAAAAATACAAAAATTAGCTGGGCATGGTGGCGCATGCCTGTAGTCCCAGCTACTTGGGAGGCTGAGGCAGGAGAATTGCCTGAACCCAGGAGGCGGAGGTTGCGGAGAGCTGAGAGCGGGCCATTGCACTCCAGCCTGGATAACAAGAGCGAAACTCCGTCTCAAAAAAAGAAAAAGACCAAAGTTTGACTGCTTTATGTAAGAGCTTGTTACACAAGCCAAGGACGGACTGGCTGTGGATGGAAGGGAGAGAATTCATGTCCAGGTATCATGAGCTTTAGGAATGCCTTGCTCTGATCTGGTGCTAAACACAAGGCACTGGACCTCAGAGTCCCTGCAAACATCTGGTAACTAGGGAGCAACATCTTGCAAAGGATACCCAACTGCAGAGCCAAAGGAAGAGTCTAGAATTGAAAAGACAATCCAGATAATGAATTTAGCAGAATAAAAGCCGCCATTCTAATGTTCAACTTTTCTAGTTTCCTTGTTCTTTCAATAACTATTATGATTGTGGTAGTCCCTGTTTACTGAGTATTTACTTAGCAAGGTACTGCCCTAAATGTGTGTGTGTGTGTGTGTGTGTGTGTGTGTGTGTATTTAATTCTCACAATCCTCTTTGATAGAGCTCCTTTCTACAGATAACAAAATAGAGAAATGGAGGCTTGGATAAATTAAGAAACATGTTAAAGCTTATACAACCAGAAAGTGGTAGGACTGGGTGACAACTCCATCTAATTTGTTGAACTCTAAATCCTGAGTTCTCAATCATAATGCCAAATTCATACCAAATGCCAGTCACTGGAAGTCATGACTTTTTCTAACCGTATCTCCAGATCACTTATCTCACTATTTACTTAATACTATTTACTTTGTAATATAAATGGATTTTCAGTATCTGTGAAATTGTAGAATAAGATGGTTGTGTTTTCTGACATTCATTAAAATAAATACATAAATATGAAAACTAAAAAAAAGTTTATGTATTGCTTAGAAGCACGTTGCTTACCACCCCCAGTAGTAGCCACACTATGCTTTGGGAATCCCACATTATTCTATCCTGAACCATGTTTCTTCTGTCTCCTTTGTGAATAGAGGGCATTGTGGAAATCCTGCCTGGTGGCTGGTATTTTTCTGAGGCTGTTTTGAAAGATGGCCACCTCCTACCCCAGAGGTGGCTATACTTCAGTGATGAGAGGGACAGGGGTCTCAGTTTATATAGTTGGCTCAGTGCTTAGGGCAGTCTGGTTGAAAAAACTACATAGATATCACTTATCATCATTCTCATGATGACAATGATTATTTTACATATGGCTGCTTTAAGGGTGAATGGCACAGTCTCATTTGTATGCCAGCATCTGGCAGGCTGTCACACATCTGCAGAATATAACCTAAACTGTGCTATTAATATTTCCCCTTTGCATTCTCCCCAGGGCATCTGTCTCCCAAAATGCCTAAAGAAAATCCCCTCCCCCTTGAAGGCCTAGAGGCAAAATTCAGAAAACATGTCACCTAGACCGGGGGAGGCAGAAGCTCCGAGTGACAGCCAGCTGAGCCTGAGCAGATTTCTGGCTCTTGGAATAGATGGAGAGAGAAAAAGGGAACCACCACCCACACTCATTCTATTAGCAGCTGCACTGCCAGGCAAAATTTGTAGGCAGGCCCAGACAGCATGTTGAGTCTGTTCTGTGATCAACAAAAGATGCCAGGCATGGTCCTGATGGTCAGTTCTCAGTGTCTCCAAATATATCTCATACTTGCCACTACCTGGTTAAAGCTGCCTTCCCTGAAAGCCTTTGGTGACTGTTGAGTGCTCTCTGTGGTGGAGACTAGCTAGCTGTGTACCAAAACCAGGTCATTTTTCTTGGGCACACAGCCAGACTACATTTTCCAGTCTGTCTAGCAGTAAGAGGTGGCCACGTGGCTGAATGATCTAAAAACCATGACCATGGAGTGCATGCTTTTTAAGGGCCTGGCTCAAAGGACTCTCCCATTTGTGATCTTCCGTTACCTTCCCCTTTCACAGTCCTGCTACAAACATGGTGAACACTGGGGAGCTGCAGATGAAAGAGGCCCAAGTTTCTGAATTACTGATTGGAGGAGGCTGCCTGCTTATGGGGATTATCAATATTAGACTTTATAGGAAAATAAATCTTTTGTTTGTTTGAGCCATCATGGGGTCTGTTTTATATACGAACCTTCAGAGCTTTGCTATAACTCTTAAATTTCCAGGTTAGATTGTATGATCAACTGTCTACTGAACATCTCTACTTTGATGACCTACTCTTATTTTGAACTTGACAGGTCCAGTCATATTCTTTATGTCAGAGTGTTCCATATACTGCAATAGTTCATACAAAGCCCTTGCTCTTGTAGAATTTACATTCTAATATGAGGAAACCAAAAATACATAAATAAAAAAATTCAAATCATTTTAAGTACTATGACGATAACAGGGTAGAGAGTTATTGGTAGCTACTTGAGAGTTAATGGGAGAAAGTACCTCTGAGGCCTGAATGGTGATATGTAGCTAGCCATGTGAATGCTGGGGGCAGAATATTCCATAAAGAGAAAACAGCAAATGCAAAGAATGGAAGAATAAGGTTTACTTAGGAACAGAAAAGTGATTATTGGCTGAAACAAAGTGAATTACGGAAGACTGACATGACAGGATATCAAAGATGGAGACAGGCTCCAGATTATGTGAAATCTTATAGGCCAAGTTAAATAGCTTTAAGTTCAATGGGAAGCTACTGGAGTGTTTTTATCAGGGAAGGAGTGTTATCTGAATGACATGTTGAAGAGTCCACTCTGACTGTTATGTGGGCACGTGCTGTATAAAAGAGCAAGAACAAATGGAGACCAGACGAGATTACTGCAGTCACAGAGGTGAGAGATGATAGTGGCTTATGCCAGCGTAAGTAGGCAGGAGTGGAGATAGGGACATATGAGTTGATTTGACATATATTTTAGAGGACATACTGGCAGAGCTCATGAATAGATGGAGTTAGAGTGGGGGAGGCCGGTAAATGGAAGAGAAGACTCCATACTGATGCCTCAGTCAATTGTTCAGTTGCCTGAGTTGTTCAGTGCCATTCCTCATAAATCTCATGCTTCAGGCTTCTGGGGAATGGCGTACATGATAGGTATTCAATAAATGACCATTTTTTACTACAAAATAGAGGGTCAACACAGTGGGGTGAAAATAGTGGCCCGGCTATTCAGCAATTATTTTGACTTTTCTATTTATTTTTATTTTTTGAGATGGAGTCTGGCTCTGTGACCCAGGCTGGAGTGCAATGGAGTGACCTTGGCCCACTGCAGCCTCTGCTTCCCAAGTTCAAGCGATTCTCCTGCCTCAGCCTCCCAAGTAGCTGGGACTATAGGTATGTGCCACCATGCCTGGCTATTTTTTTTTTTTTACTTTTTATTTTTAGTAAAGATGGGGTTTCTCCATGTTGGCCAGGCTGGTCTTGAACTGCTGACCTTAAGCAATCCACCCACCTCAGCCTCCCAAAGTGCTGGGATTACAAGCATGAGCCACTGCGCCCGGCCGACTTTTCTATATTTTAATTAAACAGGAGAGAGTGGTACTTACATTATAGGGTTGTTTCATCAAATATGCCCTTGGGGGTAGAAATTATTACTATAAAGGGGCATGATGGGCATGAGAATTATTAGTAAAATTCTGTTTCTGTATGTTGATGCTGGTTATAGGCAAGTTCAATCTGTGAAATTTTATCAAACTGCACAATTGTGTGTACTTTTCTATATGCATGCTGTACTTCAATGAGGTAAAAAATGTGATCCTATACTTAAAGTTCCTCGTGCAAGTGCTTGGAACTCAATAAATGTCAGCCACGATTATTTTCACTATTATGATACAATGGAAACCAGTATGTCTGTGGTCCATGCCGTCCTTACAGATTTACGAATCCTTTAACTGAAAAAGAAACAGAGAAAGAACCTGAACTCTAGGGTCTTATCTTATTGTTGATAAAATCCTCTCCAATTTTAATTCATGACATATAAGTGACTCTGTATGAAGGAATTGATTCAGAGTTCCAATCCAGAGTTAGTCCTGGCCTACCACTTGTAATAACAATATTTCCCTAACTTTATTGTTATGGCTAAAGAGTCTCATAGGTGTATTTTAAAAGGGGCAAGTTCTCCACAAATGCTAGGTGTTGCATTTCTATTCCATATTTCCCCCAAGCCCACTCGTACCTGAATACTCTTAATTCAGGCCAGTTGATTCTTGGCCACAAAGAAAGGATACTAAAACTTTGATTGGTTATTTCAAAGTTCCATAGGTTAATCCTCAGGTCGTCAGCAGACATGTAGGTTTCATAGTCGCTGTTGACAGATATGGAGTTGATGTGATATGTATGTGCGTTGGCAAATACTCTTCGTGGGGTGGCCTCCACCATCAGGTCCATAGGTCTCAAGACAGGCACCTGGAATGCAAGAGAAACAAATCACTTCAGAACCAAAGGTCTTCCATAGGAAAAGAGTGTGCATGCTTATGTCATTGATTATCGCACAACAAATCATAGCCACACTGAAGAAATGCCAAGTCAGAGAAAGAAGAGGCTAATAAAGAATCACACATTGTTCCTGTTCGCTTCTGTTCCTCCTCTTTCAAAAGATATCACCATCACTTAGCCCTGATGGGAAATTTCATTCCTTACAAATTCTAAACATTTTCTCAAGCTCCTCCAGGTAGCCTCATCTCAGGGGAACTTGGTTTCCATTGTGGAATCATTACCTTTCAGAGACATTGCTCCAGATTTTTTTTAAAACATGGAATCTATTTAAAAAATGAAGTTGTGGGAAAATTTTATATATGTCTACTTCAACTTCAATCTAAATTTATCTTTTATGTCTTTTCATCTCATGGCTTTGGAAGCCTACACCCCTTCCTGGCTTTGTTCTCAATTCTTAAGGGCATTTTGGGAAACTTTATCATCACCCAAGACTCTAACACTCCAAATTCAGTCACTAATATAGAGGGAACCCAGTGACATCCTGATTGACCTGAGAACATCTTGGTTTATACTTGTCTTAGAGTGCGAACCAGGTAGTGTCACATTTACAGGCAAAACTATCCCAGTTTGGATATTAATGATATGATCACCTTACTGATATATAAAAACTTCTCAGTAAGTATTTGTTGAAAGAATGAGAACACATGAGTAAACGATTTCTTTCTGGTGGATCAGAGAATCGGCAGTTAAATAGTTTGCCACACATGACTGTCTCTCTGGCAAACATGAACAAAGAACCATCACGCTTCCTCCTTTATCTTTGAGTTCTGGATGAACTGGCTCCAAAGAAAGAGGGTAAGAACACAGATGTCTGAAAGGAAGCAAACTAAAAAAGCACCAAAGACAAACAAAACCCCACACCACAGGCATGGCCTCTTAATAAAAACAAGATAATAAAATAACCAAAGCTATTTTCTGTTCAAGCTCATCATCTCTTGCAACTGAGCCCCGACTGATTTGATACCAGGTGGTAGAGGAAGACTTCGACTTCTCAATTGGCTTCAACCCAGGTGGTGAGGAGAAGAAAGTGAAAACAAAAGTTAAATTTTCTGAAGTGCAGCCACCTCACCAACATAACGTTTTAGAAAAAAGAATTCTCCCAGCTCAGACTTGAGGGACTTGAACTCACCCTTGAAGGAGTTTTTAAATCAAATGGATGATTCAGAGGAAACACAGAATTCTAGACAGATGTGGTACTTGGTAACCCAGAAGCTAGAGGTGAATTGGGAGTGGCTATAGATGAGTCAGCCGTCCTCTGAATACTAGGAAAGGAAAGGGAGGGAAGGTCTTTGTGGTCCCCCATCCCAATCATAAATAATGGCCCTATAGCATAAGTGTGTGTGGCAGGAATTGGGAGACCAGTTCGCCACTAACCAGCAGGCTGTGAGGTCTGGGCAACTAACCTGCTCCTCCTGAGCTCAATCACACTGTCTGCAAAACAGTGACCATGCTCCCTGTGCCCTCACTATCACAAAGGGTGGTGTGAGGTTTTGCTGAGATGATCTGACCTCCAATGCATCCTCCTACCCAGTCTTTAAACAACATTTACTGAGTGTCACACGAAGTCCTAGGGGGCACAACTGGTAAGCAGAACCAGACACAGGTCCTGCCATCTATAGCTAATCTTGTCAGAGGAGACAGACATGATCAAAAGAACTAGGTCCCCCAAAGAGAGGATATACTGCCAAGAGGGATTTAACCTGCTCAAGGAGAACTGGAGAGGCTTTCCTGAGAAGGTATGAGTGTGTTGAGATGTGAACAATGGGTAGGGATTTAACCAGGCTAGGAGGGGAGAATGTGTTTGAGGGATGTGCAAAGGTCCTGTGGTGGGGTGAACAAGTCAAGAGTGAAGGACTGGTAGGTCACTGTAGTTGAGACAGAGGTAGTGATGGGAGCTATTGTGGGAGATGAGGTCACAGGGTAGGTAGGAGGCAACACTCCTCCAAAAAAGTTTTACCATTATTCCAAGCGAATAGGGAAAAAAAATGAAAGGATTTGTAATGACTGTGATATAATCAAATCTCGGTTTTGATTAGATCATTCCAGATGTACAGCGGAAAACAAGTTAGAGGACTAGTGAGGTAGAATTTTAAAAGGGAAGATCATATATTCTTGGATGCCAGTTAAGGGCGTGCCTGAGTTAAGGCATCGTAATGGATAAAAAGTGACTTTGCCCTCAGAAACTCTACACTGAAATGTTTATGGTGCATTTTCTCTGTGTCAAGCATTCTTCATACATAATCTCAGGTGATTCTTTCAAGAGCCCTGTGAGGATACTCACACAGGTACTCATACAAAGGTACAATACGTACTCACACAAAGAGAAAACTCAGGCACAGAGAGGCTAAGTCACTGGCCCAGGGTTGCCCAGACATAGGAAGCATAGCTAGGTTTAATTTGGGGACTGCTAAGTGAGTGTTCTTCCCACTGTACCACACCCTATTGAAATATCATGCAGAGTAGGAAGTGATAAATGCTCTGAAAGTGACATAAAGTGCCAGGAGAATTGATGGAATAACTAGCGTTAGTGGTAGTTATAATGGTAGCGGGACTCATAGTACTGCTGTCATTAAGAAACTTCACTTAGGTGTTGTAGGTGTTCATGGTATTTGAATATGGTATTTATTCTTTCAGAAATGTGTGCCATGCTTTTATAGCTTGTCACAAAGGAGCTCCGCACCTGAAGCTTTTGGTTGCCACCTGCTTCCTCTGCCCTCCAGAGGTACCAGAGCTCAGAGCAGGATCCCAAGGGCCACAAAGAAATTGAATCTGCCGGACTTCCTGAGGGTCCTCCTGAACTCTTTCCTGGGCCTCCGTGGTTACGATGCATTGTCTGCAGACGGTTCTTGTGGCAGTGGCAACGTGAAAGGGAGCATGCAGCCAGGAACAAGAGGCATTACAGAGTGGGAGCTGCCAGCCCACAGCTTCAGCTTAATGTGATGGGCCTGCCTGCTAATTCAGGCTGACATATTCCATGATGTACCACCTAATGGGGAAGGGCTCCGTGTAGGTATCTGGGGATGGAGCCTCTAATGCTTTGCAGGTAAGACAGGGGGAACGGAGAGCTGAATGCCTCTCGTGTTATTCCAGCCTCAGTCCCAGGCCTATGTAAAGGCTTGTCCACTGCCCAGTGACTCCCCTCACAACGAGAAAAAGGGAAGTCTGGTGGTTCAAGCAGGATAGGATGGACGATGAGGAAACCACATTGAGACTGTTTTTCATCTGCTCTGGCCACGTACTTCTTTTGAGGCTAGGCAGGAAGGAGATCCGGACACTATTCCCTGAGTCAGGCCCACAGGCAACCGTTAAAGCTGTCTCTGGAAACATACACGGAGAGCTTCTTGTGCAAGCTGCTGTGTTTAGAACCCCCCACTCCCTGCTCCACCCAACTCCAAGGTGTTATCTCCCCCAATGCCCTCAGTAACCAACCTTCCAAGGATGATTCCTCTGTTTGCCCCATTTTACAGGGGAGGCTGGGGGGAGGTGGAGGAGTCCTGAATGTGAATGAAACTATTAGATTGAAATACAAAACTGCCATTTCTGTAAGTCAAAAATTGCCAAATATCAGCAATCTCACGTGGCTTAGCCTAACACTTTAAAAAGGCTCTGTGCTGTATGGATGTGACATCAAATCAGGGAACATGTTGGCTTGGAAGAACCCATAGAGCCTCTTCCTAGGACATCATCTGTGTGTGGGAGAGTCTTACAGTGGGAGGCCATAGTGTCTAGGCCTCTCCTCCTCCATTATTCTTGGTATTATATGCTGGCATCCTCAATGACATCATCCTGGAGGAAGTATTTCTGTGGATAAGCAAAGTGTGAAAGCGAGTAGCCTGGGCAGTTCTTGAAATCTACAGCTGAGGACATTGAAGTCTGAGAGGTTAAGTACCTTGTCCCTGGTCACCCTTCCGGGGTTGCCCGCACAGCCCGGGCCTCTGCCTCCTGTCCCAGACTTCCACTTCAGCACACCACCTGCCTGAGCCATCCTCCACAGGACCAGAACTCCCTTTTGCCAAATGACAGAAGCAGAACTAGACAAAATTCAGATCAGGCCAGGACGTCTTAACTCAGTTCAAACCTTCTTGTCTGAGCCATCTTGGCAGAGTCGTTGATGGGGCTAGGATCAATGCAGAGACAAGGGAGGTGCTGCGTGAAAAGTGGCCGGTCCTTGGTGCTTTGAGTGGCCAGTGCTTGGCCCACCTGCAGGTGGCTCTATGCTGAGCAGCTGGAATTCAGTGATGTCCCTCGACTCAGGGGCTTCACTCTCCTCTCTGACCCTGGTTGAGTTTCAGCTCATTCTCCTAGGCTGCTTTCAAAGGATAAGCATCCCAGCCCTGTGTCTTGCCTGGACACCCAGTATTACATTAGAATATCAACTGAATAATGTCCCAGGCCCCCAAAGAGCAGCCTGAGTCTAATCTGCAATAAAGCTTACAGAGATATATTTCCGTTGTAATATTCCTGGGAAGCTCTTCCCCCCAGAGAGCGGCATGGCTTCCTCCTCACTTCAGTCAGTCCCTGCTTGAATGTCACCCCTCAGGGAGGCCTTCCATGGCCATCCCACCTCGAATCACACAGCTTCCGGTCTATCCTCTTACCCAACTGACTGATTAGAGTGTTTTAAACTCTCAAGCATTCATCAGTGAATTTTCTTCACTGTTTCATGATTAATCTGGTAGATGTTACAATCCCTATTGCACAGATGAGGAAACTGAGGCACACAGTGACTCTGAGGCAGGGTGACTACTCAGGCCTGGCACTCCTGCCACTCTTTGACTCAAGAATCTATGCCGTTAGTCACTTAAAGCACACTCAGATGCTTGGGAGGGAGACAAGTTAACAGATCTTTCAGCAAGGGCAATCACACTGCCAAGGAGGTCAGTAGGCACTGCCCAGGCAGTATCAGCCAA